GCAGAGCGTGGTAGGGTTGACCCTCGATACGCTAATCCAGCAAGGATTTACACGATACCACGTGTTCCCTGGAATGACGCGGGATGGAAATACGCCCAGAAGGAGAAGGAAGAAGTTATCGCTTTCCTGAAAGAAAAGATGGTTTCCCACGTTGCGGAGCCGTCTGATAGCGCTTATGCTAATCGATGGTTCTTCCTACGAAAGCCGAATGGCAAGATCCGATGGATCCAGGACCTTCAAAAGGTCAACGCGGTGACTATACGAGATGTGGGCTCCGTGCCACACGCCGATTTACTGGCAGAAGGCGCCGCAGGTAGGTCGATTTATTCGGTTTGTGATCTGTTATCAGGTTATGATGAGGTACCGCTTGACCCTAGAGAGAGGCACCTCACGGCTATGCATATGCCATTGAGACTGATACAGATGATGGTTATCCCTATGGATTGGACTAATGGTGTAACCGTTTTTCAGAGAGCCATGGTAGCCATCCTCAAGGACTTCATCCCTGATAAGGTTGAAGTTTTTCTGGATCACTTTCCTATAAAAGGGCCAGTAAACAAGGATGAGGCAGAGGTTGCACCTGGAGTTAGAAGATTCGTCGAGCAGCACCTGACTATTAAGATCCTGGGCTTTATCTGTGACTCGAGGGGACGCCAAGCAGATCCGGCGAAGTTAGACAAACTCCTGAACCGGCCGTCACCATTACATAGTCCAACCAAGATCCGGCAGTTTCTGGGAGTGGTCGGTTACTGGCGAATATTCATACGAGGGTATGCAGAGAAGGCTGAGCCATTGAGACTACTCCTTCGAAAAACTGAGAAATTCTACTGGGATTCCTCGCAGGAACTCGCTATGCAAGAGCTTAAAGATGAATTTAAGGAGGGAGGACGCGTACTGGGTGTGCCGTACTTTGATGATGAGGCTGGGAGACCCTTCATAGTAGCCACGGATGCTAGACCTTGTTCGGTAGGAGGGTTGTTGTCTAAGAAGGACGCTGAAGGGAAGGAAAGACCGTTGAGATTTGAGAGTAGGACACGTAATACGACAGAGCGAAACTACAGTCAATTCAAGAAGGAAGTATTAGTTGTTCTGCGGTGTCTAGACACGTTCAGACATTATATCTACGGACGACGGTTCATCTTGAGAGTGGATCCCGCCGCGGTCGCCTCTGTCCTCCAGAAGGACTTTAGCCTGACAGACCCGACCATTGCACGATGGTTAATATGGATTTGACTATATGATTACACAGTAGAGAGGATATCTGGCACTAAAAATGTCGTAGCGGATGGACTCTCTCGGATCCCTCTTGAGGGAGAGCGCCCGATAGTAGCTGGAGCCCTGACAATGGCGGAGCCGAGATGCGCCGGGAGATTTTTGGTTAACCTTTACGAGGGCAAGTACCGAACGATCGGGCTACACCTGACGGGAGAGGAGAGTCAAGATGTAGATATCCGGAGACAAGCAGCCCAGTACTGCCTTAGAGCGGGCCACCTTTTCCGAAGGCCAGTAGGGTCGGGAATGCC